GGTGTGTAGATGGTTTTATTCTCTCCTGTATCTTCAAACTCCTGGTAGTACTTTTTACAGAGAAACTTCATGGACAACTGGAACTCTTCATCCGTGAAATGTCCTCGAGATATTCAACCACAGCATCAAATTCTGCATCGGATGCAGAGAAGGACAGCGCGAAGCTCTTCCTCTGGGGCGTCCATCGCTACCGCTCCAGCAGCCACCTGCGCGGGCAAACGGGCCTGTTGGCCTCCTATCCCCCTCGCGGCCCTGGGCCCAGCCTCCGTCCTGCTCTGCAGAGCCCATACTTGCATCGAGGGCACGGCAGCCCGCCAGCCGGGAGGAGGCCTCGCCGCCCAGGCCACAGGCCACCCAGGGCCCAGCCGGCTCAGCGCTCACCCACAAGGCTCGGGCTCCTGGCCGCAGCTTCGCACCGGTTGGGCCTCCTCGCCCAGCGAGGCCGGCGCAGCCACCGCCTCAGGTCCAGACATTGGCTACCGACCTGAAGCGGAGAATAAGGACAGTTACCTCCAAATCCGGACCAGGGGGAGAGGCAAGAGGGGAGGAAAATCGCATAAGCTCACTTCCTTAACAGCTGGAAAGAAATGCAAACCAAACTAAAACATGACAAGAGAGCAGTCGGGGAAAGAAATCGAACAACTCAACACACTGTGGACATGCCAGACGTGACATCCATTTTGAGTCCAGAGCTGACCAGCCTTTCTAGGAAAAAAATCAACACGGCTTATCCCCTACTTCCAGATCACAAAATTGAGACATACCATTGCAGAGGTAATTCCATTCTAGAAGGAACTTCTAGAGAGATCTACTAGATGAAAACTTACTGAAACTCTTTCACCATGGACAAGGGGGAATGAGGTGGAACAAACCCAAGAGCTGGTCACTTCCAGGAAGTGCTGGCCTAACAGAGCCCTGCATAGTCTCCATGGGAACTTGGGCAGAGATGGGAGGGGATGCCCATGATTTATTGCCAAGGACAGTGAGGGGTTATTCCATCCAGGAAAAACTACCATAGTCCTTCCTTGCTAAGGGGAAATTTAGAAGAGGAAGATTAATGGAATTAACTATAAATCTTGTCTGCTAAATATCTGAGCCACAACTATTACTACTTCTCTCCTACTATTTGGAGTTCCCTTCACTCAGTTGTCGACATTGCAAATAATTTTGGCTTACCTGGAGTGACTCAAACTTTCATATCTGAGCAGGATGAACCCATGGTAATCATTTTGAGAATGTTAGTATAATGTATAACAGTGACAGTGGGGCAGTGGAGTATCAGACAATGTCCAAGTATATGACCTGGATTTGGTACATGTTTAATAGTCTTCCCTGTGTCTACTATATAAAGGCCACCTTTCATCTTCCCCACTAATCAAGGCCAGTTGGTGCTGGTAGTATGACTCAACAGTTGGTCTGACATAGCTGTCGTCAGGATACTGTGGACTACTGTTTAACTTGTAGCTCAATGGGATCCTTGTCCTCTTGACCAGAGTGAACCACCTTTGAAAACCAGGAACTCCAAATCTGAGTCAAGGGCTTCAGGAGCAGGAAGTAAGTTTTCTAGTGGCTCATTGAGAATGAGATTGTTTCAACCCCTTTGTTCCTAGTTCAAATTTGTCCAATGGATTCCTTAGCATCATTTTGAGCATCATAACTAAATGCACATACTACAGCATCAAAGATGGTGCTAGCCTTTTGTGAAATGTTGTCTGAGCTGCTTTATCTGTGTTTAGAAAGTTAAACAGGCCAGCTGCTTCCAGTTGGTGAGATAATGAAATGCCATCAGTGAATTCCAACGTTGTAATCTCTACATATCATTTTGTATAGGACGTCCTACTTTCTTTATACTACAGGCAAGGGTTCCAACTTGTCATAGATCAGATGTTCTTGAGGCCCCCAACAGGAGTGCTGGCCAAGGATCTGGACAATAAAGGCAAATTCACACCGTGGGAAAAGTACACCTAACAAATACGAAGTACTGGCTCTAAGAGGCCAGCTGTAGTCAACTAGCCATCAAGCGGCCTCCTGGAAGAGTAATGTATCTGGGTTTCAGCATTGATGGGTTGGACACTGAAATGTGGCAGCAGTAGCCAGTCAAGTTTGGTCAGTCAGCTACTGATTGGGCCCACACATGGTCTCCTTCAATGTCTTGCCACTCCATACAATAACCCATTATACCAGTCCTGAGGTGACCACTGAAGGCTTACTAGTGGCTCTATTAGTTGCACTACTTCAGCTACTTTGTTTCAGTACCTCTTCTGGCAGGTGGCTTCCAACAAATGATTCAGACCCAACTCCCATCTGCCTCTATGCCCCTCTCCCAGACCTCCTAATCTAGTCTTGGAGACCCTGACCAGAGCAAAAAGATGCCACTGCCCAGAGACTTCAACTGACTCTTGGGTGCCTCATGGAAAATATACAAACAGGTATAGTAACAAATTCTTTCAAATTCTTCACTTTCCTGAATGCATCTGCCATTCTTCTTAGGCCAGGACTTGCCAACACTTCTGTACACAGTTCTGGCCTTTTCCTCCATCTGGCTGTGTAAGGAAGACTGGTGCAAATGTTAGATGACCTGAGTCATGGATACCTGCTCATGTAACTTAACCTGTTGCTCCTGTTTTTATCCTAGACAAATTACTGCAGTCATAAGACTACTGGACCCATCTGACTATGATGTGATGAGTAAGATGAACCCAATTCATAATTGGATAGTTCTAGATACATAATTGCTTGGTGCTCCATGAACCAAATTCCAGGAGTTATTTCTCAAGACCAATGTAGTTCCATGAGCTCCATCCTTCATCTTTTCCCACCAGTAGTAACTCCAACACACGAGTCTACCAGTTATGAAGACTTAAATATCACTACTACTTATAACAGCCTGGACCTGCTAAAATAATTTTTCTTGCTCTGGATCCATGCAAAAAATTTGAAGTCTGACTTCTGGCTTATGGGCCAAAGCAGAATTCTTACACAAATACTGTTACCTGCAGAATTCAAAGGCTCACTAGGCCTTATTAACAGACACAAGGTTTTTTTTCTTAGTGCAAACACGCTGGTATAACCCTGACCATTGGACCTATAAAATACTAAAGCAGTAGGTGCCTGAAAATTCTTGAGGTTTGCCTCACTACCCGTAGCATGCTTCACTGTGGCCTTCACTACACAAATCGCCTCTTGCTGAACCCCTGCCATCAACATACCATTGATAGATCACTGTTCTATGGACTAACCTATAGTACATGGCAGGATAGTTAAAATTTTCCTGAAACAAGTAGTAATTTTTATATCCCATAGAAAAATAGTTGTCATCCCACTTGGGATGCTTCTATTTTACTATTTTGGTGGGGAGGGCCATTTCAGGCCAGAAATCTCATGAAAATGACACAGTATAATTCTAACTAAATACTAGCTGATAAGAGAAATGACCACTGGATGGGGGTGTAGAATAAGAATACAGTGAGTTCTCCAACACTATTCTACCTGTACTCTAGAGTCCTTACTTCAGTGGAACTATGCAGAAATACCATATTCATGATATCAATATCAACTCAAACTGTTCAACAATCTTTTAATGTCTTGGTAATCATTTCACCCATAGTACAATGGCCTGGGTAAATGACCATGGGTAACTTTGGAGAACTAGAGTAATGACTATGGTATGATAGGCATGGCTTTTCAAGGTCCTTCTACCTAGTGATTCAGTTTAATCTTTAATGAGTTCTAGATACAAAAAGAACAGATTCAGAAAACCAAGAGATTGGTCATGCCAATGAAGTTACATTCTTGCACCTTCTGATCTTCTCTTGCATTGTTATAAATGGTAAGCAGTCTTGCTGGCCACCCATCTTTATATTGTTCATTTCCCAGCTTAGTACTCAATTTACTAATTCCACAATCCTGGATTGAGCCTTCTTGATGTTCCCTTTTGACCTTGCCGGTTCTTAACCCCAAGAAGTTATCCATGAACTTGACAGTGCCCAAAAGACAGCACTATGACCCCATCATACCCTAGTTATCAATGTACCTATGTCTGACTGCCTCTGCTACCATGAGTTATAATTGCCAGTGAACTATTTAATGGTGTTGGTACCCATGTCCGCAGATCATTCATGAAGGCAGTTGAGACTTTCATGACTTAATTCTCCAAAGCATCTTCTGTCCTTGCATAACATGTTATAATGTATGTTACAATATGCCCCTTCCATTTCTTCCTTACAGAACAACCTAAGCATTTTTGCCTTGCCAACCACTAGCTAGCTATTGCCACTTTTTTTCATACCCTAGCAGTGAGTTTGTTCCATTTCCTAGGGTCCTTGCCAGGGTAATAAATCCTATGTCCCGAGAAAGTGCCTCCCAAAGTTCAATTAATTTTTTTACTTGGTCTTAACAATCTAGCCCCCTTGACTGATCCTCAAAATCCAATCCTAAGGATTCTTTTCTCTTGCCAGCATGCTCATGAATTCTAAAACTCATTCCATTATATACTTACTGATTAGCCCTCCTTATCTCCAAAAAATATGCTCCTTCAACCCTGCTTGTCAGGCTGGCAGCCAGGAAGGAAGATGAAAGCAACAGCAACTACTGAAGAAGATACTTTTTGTATCACTAAAGTGTTCCCTTTTGCTAAGGAAAGTCCAAAGCATTTGGACAGTTCCCCGCCCCCCCCCCCCACGCTTCCCATACGGCAGTCACTTCATTTCCCTTCATTGAGTCAATAACTTGCCAGGCCATATTCTCTCATGGGTGGTGTCGCCATACCTAGTAGGCATGCAGATCAGTCTTCCGGTACACTACAATTTTTATTAGAATAAGCAGTTTTGGCAGGATTCCAATTGCTAACATTAATTCAATCTTGTAGTTAAGGTGACTTTGACCCAGTTTGTAGGATTTATTTTTTTAAAAAAAATATATATATATATATATAAAGTATATAATAACATAAGACTCCTAGCTCAGTGTTTGAAGACTTAAGTAACTTTGTATGTGGTTTATAAAGCAAGGGTCTTGTCTCAGTTTTACATATATAAAACATGAACAATAATACTTGATTTCAGGATACTTGGAAGAAATGCATTAGAAGTGCTGGAAAAACGTGCTTATTACTGGTGTCATTGTCATTGCTGGTTGTCTTTGTGGTTCAACTATCCTCTGATCCTGACAAACATCTTAGTATTTGAGTTTACAACTCTAAAAGTTGGGCCTAATATCTGACTTGAGTTTCACAAACGGGAAGTGGTCCTCCATATTTAAATGATGCCTCCATGAGTATGAGAGGAAAGAAGTAGTAATTATTTCATCTTAGTTCCTATCTTTAGGATTTGAAAAATCCTCTCTCGGATCTGCTTAGTCCGGACAGAATACACAATAGGATTGAGGATTGGGGGAATGAGGAGATAAAAGTTGGCCAGCAAGGTGTGGATTGGAGGAGGCACTTGGTGACCAAACCTGTGAATGAGGGAGGAGACGGCAATGGGAACATAGAAGAGCAGGATGGCACTAATGTGAGAACCACATGTCCCCAGGGTTTTAAGCCTGGCCTCGGGGGTGGCCAGCCCCATCACAGCCCTGAAAATCATCACATAGGAAGCAGCAATAGCCACAGAGTCCAAGATCAATACCAGAAAACCAATGGTCAGTCCATAGACATTGTTGATTCTGCTGTCGCCACATGCCAAGGTGACCACAGCCATGTGTTCACAGTAGGAGTGGGAGATGATATGAGTTTTGTAAAGAGGCAGCCGCAGGCGGATCATCAAAGGTAGAGGTCCGATGTAAAGAACTCCTCGGAGGAGGGCAGCCAGCCCCAAACGACCCACCACTGAGTGGGTGAGCACTGTAGTGTGACGTAGTGGGTTGCAGATGGCTACATAGCGATCAAAAGCCATGGCAAGGAAGATGCCTGACTCAACAGTGGCAAAGCAGTGAATAAGGAACATCTGGCTCAAGCAGGCATCCAAGCCAATGTTGCCAGCACCAAACCAGAAGATTCCCAGAAGCTTGGGTATAGTAGAAGTGGAAAGAACCAGGTCAATAATAGCCAGCATGCACAAGAAGTAGTACATGGGCTGATGCAGGCTATGTTCCACCCTTACCACGGCCAGGATGGTGATGTTCCCCACCACAGCCACCAGGTACATGGAGCCAAAGGGGATCGAGAGCCAGATTTGCAGGGACTCCAGACCTGGTATGCCCAGGAGCTGGAAGGAGCTGGGCGCTGAGCAGACATTATGAAAGGTGAGCATGGCTATTCATAAACGAACCTTCTCACTTGTGCCCTAAAATGCAGCAGGACATTTTCCCCTGGAAGGAAAAGATGATAGTTTTCTTAGGTCATGTAGCAAAAAAAATCTACTAGATAAAACTCAATAGTAAGTTTATAAGAAACCAAAGTATCCTACACTCACAAATGCCTTTTGCACTACAATGAATTTAACACAAATATTTGAAATGTGTATTTTTGTAGCATGACCCTCAAGGAATGATCTTGTGTCGATAAGTTGACGTAAGATAATATGTACCCATTTGTTTACTTACCTCTGTAGGTATGCTCTGAGGGGGCTGTTGGGATCTAATATGCTATAAAGTGACAGCTCCTTAAACATACTGAAACAGATACAGGTCAACATAGACTCCACAGTGGACTATACAGGGAAAAGTTTGTAGTTTTACACTCCTTTTGTTAAGGATCAAAATACTACCTGTGCCTTGTATGTTAAAGGGACTGGAATACAGACAAGGAGCACATTAGCCTTAAGATGTAGACAAAGCTTGAGAGTAATCCATGTAATTCCCAAGCCATACTGACAGAATACTCAGTCTGATTTGGGAATCTTCCAAGGAACTGGCACCTTGGAAAACAGGATAATATACTCAAGTTCCCAGGGCATATTATCCTATTATAAAACACAACTAACCTCACTTCACAACAAACTTTAAAAGCTGTGGCCCAGACATTGTCCTGAAGACTGCATGCAGTGTCTGACAGTCATTTAAGCATCAGTTCTTCAGTTGGGGGGTCACATACAGAACCAAGACTCTCTAGTAAACACCAAAGAACTTCGAGCTACATACCGCCAAGGACCCATCTTGATTCCCGATTGATACCTCCAGAAGTTGGCATCTACGGGATATATCAGATTCCCCTGTCCTCTTGTTTCCAAGTAAGCCCAGAGAATGTGAGATACCAGCAGGAGGTAAAAGTGTAAGCCTGACTTCTAACTTACTTCCCAATTCCCTTCTCACCAGGCATGTTTGGCAGCATCTTACGAAAGGTGCCAGCTCCTGAAAAGTGACCTTCCCTGTGTTCTGGTAACTACACCTTGCCTTACCTGTTTGGGCTGGGTTAGGTAACACTGCTAGTCCTGGTGCTCCACCATCCTGTCAGTTTCCTCCATACCACCTGTGCCTCTGCAGATGGCCCCTTCAGTTGTCCCCATAACCCTGTCGCGAGTTCCTGTGGATACAGACCAGATCCTAACAGTACACAATCTCTTATGCAGTATTGTCCCCCCAAGCAGGTTGCTGCCTTAGCAGGACACAGAATCGAAAGTTAGACAAGTCATAGAACTTTCTTAAAGAACCGTATTCCTATGGAAACGAAAGGCTAGATAAATTTCTCCACACTTACAGAAAGTCTCCCTTTAGAAGTAGAGGCAAAATAGGAGTATATAATAATCAAATAACTTTTGTAACTTTTGAACATGTTGAACATGTTATTAGGCAAAGCTATAATGTGGAAGATAATAGAAAAGGGAGTCCCTAAATAAAAAAAATGGGACTTGCCAAGTGAGTTCTTCTGTCCTCATAATTCCCCTAGACGGCTGTTACTAGTGTTAATGAAATTGTTCTGGTATCCTCCAATGCCATTTGAGTCCTTTCACTACTGCCCTGGTGGAACTATTGTGCAATAGGATCACAGACCCAAGTCACAGATGAGGCAGAATGTGTACCTAATGAACTATGGACAATGAAGGGAAGGGATTGTGAAATCCGGCAACCTCTCCATCTCAAACCATGTTACAGCTAAGCACAAGAAAAAGTCCTCGGTCCTCTAGACTGACCTAAAGACCCAGAAAGGTACTCGATTTTCCTTTGTACCTAACACCCAGCTGTTTTCCTCATGGATATTCCACCTTCATTTCATATCTCTATCCATCTCTGAACACATCAAGAAACTGGAAAGGGCACCCATGTCGGGAAAGATGCACCTCATCCTCTGAGGGTGGACTGAGCTGCTTATAATCTTTCCCTGAGCTCTAACACTGTCCTTATGCCTCCCCAGTCAGAAGCAGCCTTCGTAACCTAAATGTACTATGAGACTGCAGCAGCTCCTGTGCACCAATGTGTAAAAATTCACTGCAGGACACCCTCCCCCTGAACTCCCTATCCATACATTCACCAAAACCAAATGCAGTTCTTACCATTTCTCACCCTTACTACCTTCCAACAAGACTGGGTGTTACCTAATTGTTAAATGAAAATAGTTAACAAAATTACCTATGTTCCTTACTGGACTATCACTATCTTCACCTGGAAAATTTTTGCACATCTACCTTGCCACAGATAATCTTATGGAAGCCTGATTTAACCCTTAGTATGGTACCTGCTTCTACATTAGAATTCTGTGAATGGCCCGCTGATGTGCACGTTTCCCCAGATAGGTACTTATTTTATGTCTCTTTTGGTACTTATTTTCTGCCTTGCTTGCTACTTATTTTCTGTCTTGCTTGCTACAGTAAGCATAGTGTTTGGCTGTTGCATAAGAATAAAATACCACGCCTCTTTCACACACCTGGAGAGGTTCCTGTCTTATATGTTCACTAGTAAACTAGAAGCCTCTTCAACATCTTTGGCTCTGTGTAGACTCCTCCTGTTAAGTCCCTTTACAAGAGAATTCCTTCCCTCTGGGCCTTATATTTTATATAGGAACATGAACACGATCTAAAGCTGGCTGCCCAGGAATCCCAAGCCTATTCATCCTTAAGTTGGGAGCCCTCCTGAAGACCCTGTTTCTTTTCTAGATTCCTCTTCATGGGATTCTTACCTGGGCTGGTCATGTCAGAAGAGCCTGGGTTTCTAAATGCCTCAGAGACCTTGCACTTATAAACATTCTGCTCAGGAGTTCAGGGAATTAATTCCATTTGAGAGAAGTCCAAATGCTAAAGGATAATAGCTGACCTTGTCTCAGAAGGATAAGCACAGAATCTGTGAGCACAGCTATCCCCAGCATGTCAAGATTGGTCCTGGGGGACTACATGGAAGCATAAACCTTGAGTTGTAATCTCTTGGGTCTAGATCCTGCTCTTGCTCCTCCTTGAAGTTGGCAACTATTCTGAGGACATCAAGTGGAACTTGGAAAGGGCTTTCTGGGATAGAGGAGTCTTTTTGACTTGGATATAAGATTAGAGGTCAACCTGGTTATAAATGTTTTACTCCTTATTTGACAGTGTAGTCCTGAATTAACACCAAGGCATCTCAATGGCAACACCCCCCAAAAAAATACTCCCTCCCACTTATATCACAAGAAAAGGACTCTGTGAACTTACAAGGATGTACCTCTCAACCCACACTTTCATGCAGCAAACATTCCTTTCAAAAGGGAAGCCAAACTGTCTCTCCTGCTGACATAATGGAATGCTCATGGGTTGGTAGTATCTCGTATTCCCTGGATATGACAAGATGGTATTTAAGATGCCAAAGACTCAAGTCTCCAAACCTCAGGCCAGTTACACACTGCCTGACTTCAAACTATTTCATCTTCAAGTGTAAAATGGGAACAATATTTACTTTGAGTAAATGTTGTGACTTAGACATGGTATAGACAAACACGGATGTCTGAACGGCACAATCATCACTGCCATTGTTTCTGCATCTGCAGAAAGGGTTAGTTTTCATAAGCCTGGGAGATACATCCTTTCTCCAGATAAGGAGCCAGTATGATGGGGGAAGGTGCTCATGTACTAAAATCATTACAGGAAAGTTTCATATTCTCATGTTTCTTTCAGAGGCTATTTCCACAGAAGACCCTCAGGAAAACTGAGAAACTACCTACTTCCCAACCCTAAACTTCACATTCTGTGTAGAATTGCTCCTGCCGAAACATACATAGTTCTTCAGTTCCCTGCCTGCTTCATATGCTGTGCCTTTTGTCAAGTAACGAATGTGTAAGGAAAAACTAGTAGGTTGTTCCAATATAGATTCTAAGACTTGGTTCAGCATTTACCACCTCCAATAGATGAGCTCTGCTTTGCATAAACTTGGAGTTTGACTAGATGTTTTATTATTTAAATTGAGTGAATAATTGGTATAAGTTTCACTCCTTAATCTTCACATTATCAACTGTCAACATTTTTACTTAGAGAGATGCATCAGATATGCAAGAAAGCATTAAAGCATCCTTTTCCCTGTGGGATCTTAAATAACTCGGTGAATTGAGCCTTGGAAACAGACCCCAGTCAGAAACACTGTCAGCATACACTTTAACACTGTCCAGGAGAGGGCACCCTGTGGCAGACTAGGCTCCCGAACACATTATCTTCATCTTTCATTTGTATAATGATTTTTACCTCAGCTTTGGTTTTACGTAATCAACTGTCAAACAATTTGACTTCCCAAATATACATCAAAGGTAAAAATGTGTTGCTCAAGCCAACAATGATACTAACAGCAGTTCTACCTAAATTGAATATTGGACTTCTGGCTTTAACTATCAGTGGGTTTAATGTTTATCTGAAATGTTTATACACAATTTGGGGGAGGGGGGGGGTTAAGATCTTATCAGATGCTAATTTGGAATATTAAAACAAACATGACTTTAGTGCATATAGCTGAAGACTAATTACCTAATCCATAAGTGAGATACTGATGCTAAGACAAGTTTAGAAGATAACATTCTGTGCCTAGATGGTAGAACCAGAATTTAAGTTCTGGGCCAGACTTGACCAGCTGTTTTCCCAGGAGGGAAGTTATATACAAAGAGACTGGATAGATGTCTATGCTACACTCAATTTCCACTACCAACACTTTCCAAATGTGTTGTCATCTTTTCTACTCCTTCCACCCTGATACCAACTCCTGAGTGTCACTCCTTTTGTGAGGTTCTCCAACATCCTTTATCCCACATATAAATTTAACTTCTGATCCTCAATCCATCCAATCCATAGCCTGCCTGCCTGTATCCAGCCATACACTAGGCTGTTGATAGTCTTATTTTCTGTGCCTTCCAACATGAGTTTTGTTAAGGGCCTGAAGCAACTGGGAGAAGTAGATGAGG